TCATTCTGCCCCATAGTTACCCAAATGAGAAATTAAAGCTGACTCACCTCTTCCCTTGTTATTTCAAAGTAAGGTATAGATGGGTCAAGTATTTAAATGTGAAACATGGAAGTCAAACATATTAAAAGGAAACATGAATGAATATGTAAAAACTCCTGGAGTGGGGAAGACATTTTTGCGCATGGCACATAAGCTAGAAGGCATGCAGGAAGCAAATGGATAGATAGAAATATTTGTAATGCCAAACTCCTGTTTTTAGTCCTACTTTTAAAATCTAACAAGTTTATAAGCGTTTTCTTATGATACAGAAGACTTCTTGAACAGTGAGTTTTTTATGAATATGGAATGGTCTATAGGAAATACCATACTTTTTTTAAACATCCCCTATTTTTGTACATTTTTTTCTAATTTGTCATTATTTTTCAAGTAATGGCATAGTACACATACTTTATAATTTATAAACAGTTGATCACCAACTAGATCATAAAGATAGATTTCTCTAGAAATCGATTATGACATTTACTTACATTTCTGTGATTATTTTTTACATTAGACATTTTTTATGTTATTGGCTTATTTTGTTAACTACTTTTAATGAACAAGAAACGCATGCACATGGTGAAAAAAATTCTAAACATTGTAAGACAAAATACAATGAATATTAAGTTCTCTGCCTTCAGAGATCTCTACCTTCAGGTAATCACCGATGTGTCTCTTACATATCTTTCCAGAAATGGTCCAAGTATATCAAGCATATAACCCACCCCCACTTTTTAAAGAAATACAGATGTTAGCTTCCTGTGCACACTGTTCTGATTTTTCCCACTTAATGTAATATCATAGAAGTCTTATGTGCATACATAGATTTACCTCCTTTTTAACAGTAATATAGTATTCTATTGCTTGGCTGTATGATAATTTATTAAACACTCCCTTTTTTTTTTTTTAAGATTTTATTTATTTATTTGAGAGAGAGAATGAGATAGAGCATGAGAGTGGGGAGGGTCAGGGGGAGAAGCAGATTCCCTGCTGAGCAGGGAGCCCGATGTGGGACTCGATCCCGGGACTCCAGGATCATGACCTGAGCCGAAGGCAGTCGCTTAACCAACTGAGCCACCCAGGCGCCTTAAACACTCCCTTTTTGACAGTCATTTGGTTGGAGGATATTTTCAGCTTTTTACTGTTACAAACAACTCTGGTAAACAATTTAGTAAATATTTTTTGCACTTGGATATCAGTAGAATTATTAGCTTAACACTTAATCATGTGCATATACATTTTGATGGATACTGCTAAATTGCACATTATTCTAACATATGTTCTCATAATGAGTGCAAGGCTATGTAGTGATCTCCCATACCCTTACCAATATTATAATTATCAACATTTTTAATCTTAGTAATCTGTAGTGAGAAAATAGGATAATGTTAAGAGTCTGGATTTGCATTCCTTTAATTATGAATAAGATTCTTCATATATGATTCTATATCATCACTGTCACTTTACTTTTTTGTGACGGTGTGATCCTGACTAGGAAAAAATGTTTTTCATTAAAATAGGACATACTTTTGGCATAGTTTTATTTTAATGGAAGCACTGCTGGATATTAGTATTCTGTGCTTTATAGGTGAAAGTAGAAAGGACTTCAGAAGTGATTCAAGAAAGAAAAGTCCAACCAATTTCACTTCCAAATTCGTGAATTCACATTTTCCTGATTTTCTTGATGGAATGATTGGAGATTAAAGTGGTTTGCTTTGATTTGGTAGAGGTCGGGCTTAGTAGGCTACATGGGAGAGACAGAAGCCACTGGAAGGTTTTGTGCCAAGCAGAGTATGAGGACTGTCAGTGGTCTGGCTGCTGCTGAACTTCCTGAGTGATTTTCAAAGTCCTCTACAGACGGAATCCTTTTAGGCACTGGTGTTATGAAGTGTTGATGGTAGCATCATTTGAAATAACAGGATCGAATGGAAAGGGTCTTAGGAAGCCCCTGCGTTGCTAGCCTGCTCACACCCCTTCACAACTTGCAGCTCAGGACCCCTGACAGGTTCTCTCCCTGTGATGCAGGTGGTGCTTTTCATCAGGGTGTTCTGTCTTTGCATTTGTTACAGCCTCTGTGTGGAGAGAACATTGGGTATCGTGTCCTAAGTTTACATTGCATAAAACCTGTGACCATTTTTTCCGGGTGGTTTTTATAATATGGCCAGTTTTAAATCTCCCCAAACTGAAGTTTAAAAAGAAAAATGACACCGTGAATAATCTCATCTGGTCATTTTCGAATATGAATTTATTTTTTAAATGAACGTTTAAATACATTTCATTCAGGGTTTTTTTTTCCTGAGTAAAATTAGGCACTTTTTATCTCTTACAGTAGCGTTAAGCACAATGCCTTGTATGTGGTAAATATCCAGAAAGTCTTTGTTAATGAGTCAGGTCAATGTAAACCGTCAACATTCTGTCTTCCCAGTGTATTATTAAGTCTTTCCACTGAGATGTACTAATTTTTTCCAGTTGTACATTTCTGTTTTAACTTCAAATTGTGACTATTTTATAGCCAAATTAAATTTGATGATAATGGTTGGTTAGTAGCTAAAATCCCATCCAATAAACACAAATCTACAATATATATATTTATAAAAGAATTACAGGTGTTTTAGGCTTATGAAATATAAAATACTGACTTTCTTTTTTAAAAGATTTAAATTGATGACGAAAGGAAAAAAGCTCAGCTGATCTCTGCTGATTGTTAAGGTTAATGACTGCTACCTGAAAATTTTATGTGAAGGTTGAAATACTCCCTTACTCCCACTAGAGGGGGATTCCTTCCAACTTAGGTAAAAATGCTCTTAGATCCAACATGAAAACCTTTGTATGACATTGCTCTTTGTTTTTTAGTAAATTGAAGTTGATTTCGTGTTTTTAAAAATCAGCTGTTTTTGTGTTGGTATTGAAATACAAAATCTTTCAGAAACGGAAAATATAAAATACAGTTCAGTAGAACTAGAGTGCATATATGTGTAAACCATAGTGCTTTTCAATAAAACAAAATACACTTTTTAAGGTAGTCTGATGAAATTGGTTAGTACTTAGGAATTGCAAACCTCTTCAGCCTTCCTGGAGATAGAATGTGGGATGGAGGATGAGGCTGACCTTTTGAAATCCACTGCCTTCCTCCAGTCTCCAAGGCCTGTTTTGTCTCTGTCTACTGACAGAGCTGCCCGGACAGTTCCTAAATTCCACTTGAAAGCTTTGGTTTTGTTATTATCTCAAGTTTTCAAATATATCGAAGCCAAATCTTTAAATAGATTTCTATATGCTATTGAATTTTCTTGCTACTTTGACTTTTTATAATATGTTAAACGCAGAACTCACTTGGGGATGGTTTTTGCAGATTTAAACTTCTAATATATTTTAAAAATAGTTGTATGCGTATTAAAATATCACATCAAAAGGGTGAATGTACCTAACATTAGTATATACAGATATGATCTATTTATATAATTTAAGAGTAAATGTCATGTAGTGTTTACAGTAGTTAAGATTCAGCGAATTTGTTGTTTGTCCTTTGCCTTTAACTAAAGTCTTCAGTGTTGATTAGAGGTTTTGATGTAAAAATATTTGAGATTAGTAATCTAGTGTTGTGAAAGACAGGATTTAGGAAATTCAAACATATGTAAATTGCCAATAACTGTTGCTGCGCACCCCCCCCCCCAACAAAGTCTATAATAAGATCTTGCTTCTAAATCTAACAATTAGCTTTGGAAATCAAAGTGTAAACAGACATGCTGTCAGTGAGTCTTATAATGATTTTGCACTACAGTTGATCCAACATTTCACATTTGGTATCAGCAACATATGGTTTTCGTCAAAATGAGGCTGGTCATCCTCCCAGTACCTAATCATGTGTTTCTCTTGCTTTATGCCCCAGTCTCTGTCAGGTACCAGGTGGTGGGGGAGCCTCACTGTCAGCCAAGCAGTTGGAGAATACAATTCCTTCCTCATTTCTTTTTTGACCCCTTTACTTTTGTACTGGATGACAATCTTACTGAAATGATCTTCCTTTCTGTATTTCCTTCCCTCAAGGGAAGAATCCAATTTTGTTTTATAGCAAGATACATTGGACAGGCCTGTGTGCCTTCTACTTAAACACCTACCACAAAGGCCTAGTTTTAAAAGGCTGAAAACTCACAGTGTAGCCAGCAAGTCTGATATTACTGCTCTACCCCCGTCTTCTGCAGACACTTAAAAATATTCATATTCTGTGCCTTCTTTCCTTGCTCTTTTCCATCATATATTGGTACTTTGTAGTAGTCAAAGTTAAAAGCTTTACACACCAGACTGAATAATTATGTTTAAAAAACAGTAATTATCAATACACGTCTTGTTCCATGCAGCTTTTTAAATTCATGTTAATGAGCTCTGTCTTCTCATGCACAAGAGTGACAGGCAATTTTGAAGTTTTGCCATCATTTCACAACTTGTTGCTTAGACTCTGCCTGTCTTTTCCTGAGTATTGCTTTCAGGCACTCTTGCTCTGCAACATTCCAGAGACTCAGGACTACCCACTCTGATGGGAGCAGGACAAGAAATTACTAGCAGCTTCATAAGCATGATGAAATTGCTTTACGAAGCATACTTTCCCCTCACTGTCTGTCAGTAAAAGATCAAAAAGTATGCAACATCTTGTGATTTAACTGAGAAGGATTGATTCTTCTGACTTCTAGATCATTTTGAGGAACTTACACCACCACTTCGACATGATGGCAAATACATGCATTTGATAGGGGCTCGCCCTGTTTTAAATCTGGAATCCAGGGCAGTGACCTGTGTTTATCCCCAATCAACTCTTGAAGAGAATCCCAGATCTCTTCTTTCTTGATGTCTGACGTAAATTGAATACCAGTTTTCTCCAAACTCGTAGTTCCAGGCCATGCCTGTGTCTGTGGCTAGACTCAAAGAACGTTTTTGAGAGTGCCTAAATTATTTTTTCCTTATGATTTCAGGTTGAAGTCTTGACCTCGGAGGATACCGCCTTTGGACTCAAGGTGTGTAGTCTGATGTAGCTTATTGGGTAGGTTTCATCAGCTCCCCTAAGTGGATTGGAAGCCTCAACAGATAGGACTTGTTTTTATTATCAAATGCAGAGGTTCTAGAAGTCTTCCAGGGTTTAAGATTTCCCCTCTATTGTGATTAAGATTAGACTATGGTAGTATTTTCTTTACCTTCTTTATTTGTTGTCAGGAATATAAGAAATAGCACAGGAAACCAAGAGTTTCATTTAGTAGTAACCGATGTTTAAGTTTGGATTAGCTGTGGAACAGGATTTACGCAATGGCTCCCAGTCGGGGGAGGGCACTGCAATACCACCCTGAATGTTACCAGAGCGCTGTTTTGGTTTGCCACTCCACTTTCATTAATCCATTTATTCCTTATCCCTGCTTCAAATATTTATTGAGCCCCCACGTTCCAGTCGCAACTAAATTAAATCCCAGTTCCCGCCCTTAAGTTGCTCACAATCAGTTGGTAGGCCTATAAAGAGATCAGTTGTCCCGTAATGTGGTTGGTTGTCTCCCTGCTAGAAATGTGCGGAGGATTGAGGGAGTGGGCGGGGCAGAGTGGGAAGGCATTCCAGGAGCTTGATCCCTTGAGAGATGGATTATATTTAGGCAAGCGAGGAGGACAAGAGAAACGAGAACTATTTTCAGGTCAGAGGACAACCGTGAAAAAAATTCAGAGGGAACAAAACTAGTTAAATTCTGCCTGTGTGGCAAGATTGGAGATTGAGGAGGTTAAAGATTTGAATTTTATCTATAGAAAATGCGAAGCTGCTAAAAGATTTTAAGCCAAGTAGTGGTTAGATTTACAATTTAGATGATTTTGGTCACTTTGTGGAGGATGGATTTGCCAGAGACCAATGAAGGGCAGTTGAATGGATCAGGTGGGAGGCAGTGCGGACCTGGGCTAGTACAGTGGAAGAGGAAAGAAATCCTTAGGAAGTGAGTCTTCGGGGACCTGGTGATCATTGGGGTATGCAGGATGAAGAAGGCAGGGGAGCTGAGAAGGAGCCAGAGGAAGAGATGGTCTGTCACATGGAGAAGGAGCACGCAGTGGGAGCAATCCCAGATACCTTAGAATTACCGTCTTCCGGACCTGTTGTGTTTTATTGGAATGACTTGCCTTTTGGACATATTTGCTAGTAATTCTTAAACCATGTAAGGAAATTGGTAAGAGGCACTTATTAGGGAGTCTGACTTCATTTCCATGTAGAGGTATAGAAGTACAGTGTAGGTGCCATCAATTACTTTGGAAGTCAGAAGTTGAGGAGAACAGTTGGTGGAAACTTCAGAGCCCACAGTATGGATGGTTACTCTTCCCTGACCCCTGTATGTGCTACATCTTTGGCTTAAAACTAAAAATTAGGTGTTTATATTTTTTCCAACTTTTTCTCTTCTTTCCATTCTAGGTGCTTGGCATTTTATTAGTACAGTTTAATAGTTGTGCTGCAACTATAGGTGGATGGCATTGTAATACTAGCAAAATCAAAGCCGTTCTGAGGTTATAAGCTTAGCAAGGTTTATGTCATAAATGAATATAAACTAAAAGTAAAAAGATAAGACTTTATAAATATTTAGATATTTGGTAAACGAACTCAAGTTTTACCTTAACATATTTCTTCTATTTCTGTATTTGTCAAAAATGACTAAAGAATATCTTAGTTATAAATAGATCTCATTCCATATTATTTGCAGTATTTAACATATCGTCATCGTTTGAATTTTTCATTTTTTATTTAATGCCCAGCATGCATGCAGAATATTCATTGCATATTTAATAAACCTGTAGGGTCAGATCTTGTGAACTCCTCTCCATAAGCCTTCATACTTACTGAGTAGGCCCAGTATTAGGAAGATTATTGTACCAGCAGCACTCATGGTCTGCCCCACTGTGTAGAAGGCTTTGCATTTGTTTTATGGCTAAACTAGCAGATTGCTTTTGAACTCTTAAATTCAATTTGGAGAGACAATAGTTTGAAATTTTTTCCCAATAATTCAGTGATTTTTTTCAAAGAATTAGGAGTTTTCCACCTTTCTATATCTATACCCAAGTGTTTACATATGTAACTAAAAGTGAGAAATTTGAATTTTTTTTTTTTTACTGCTTCATTATCTGCAAGTCAGCAAATACATTTTTTTTAAAGATTTTATTTAATTATTTGATAGAGAGAGAGAGCACGAGCCTGGTAGGAGCAGAGGGAGAAGCAGACTCCCTGCTGAGCAGGGAGCCCAATGCGGGGCTCAGTCCCAGATCATGACCTGAGCTGAAGGCAGACGCCTAACCCACTGAGCCACCCAGGTGCCCCAGCAAATACATTTTTATCTTGTTTCTTAAAAGGTCTGGGAATTCAGTATTGGTCATGTTTCTGAACACTTATTCACAATTGATGCTTTTTTCCTGTTTTTTGCCCTGGGAGAAAGAACTCAGATACCTGACCCACTGGTAATACATTAATGGCATCACTTTGGCGAATGAGGAGAATGCTGGAGTGTGTGTCTGCCCACGAATGTCTCTGATCCTCTGCTGATCTTTAATGTGCCTTTGCTCTTCCTTTGCCCTTTTTTTTTTTTTTTTTTTTGGTGCTGCTATTGACTTACTCATCCCTTGGATGTTTCTCCTTCTCCTAAGTCTGTAAGCTATATATTTACTTAAGACTGAAGCATGAATTCGTCAGTCTCGCTGGAAAGTAACTTAAATGCGTTGGGCCCCAGAGATACAAACAGCCTGTTTTTGTCTGTGAGTGTGCCGAAACCGCGACCCAAGGAAACAGTTTCGCAGTCATTCAAAATTCTCATGACTGTTTGTGCTGCTTTGAGATGAATTTTTTTTCAAGCTAATCTAATGAGAGATAGCTGTGCTCTTACACATTTCAAATCTTAATTTCTCAAGTCCTGATTCGTCATTGTATTGGGCCTTTCTCAGTTAAAAGTGACTTAGACTTCGAAATGCTAATGACTACACCACAGTACTCTGGCTGTTTTCCAGTGGTTCTCATTTTCCCCTCTGAATTAAGGCAACTTTGATTTTCTGGAGTTTGTTTCTTTACAGGTTTAGAAAGATGCTTAATTAATTTAAAATCATGTGTACTTTACAAAAAATAAGAATTGTAGTGAAGAGAAGAGGTGCTTCAAAATTAAAAAATGGGCAAATATATTAGGAAAGGGAAGTTCTACAAACTACCGACTGCTGATCTTGACTTTGGTTCTCATCAAGACTTAAACATATTAAGAAGTTTATAATTCTGTAGAATAATAAATCAGGAGTCGCAGGGGCAGCCAACATGAGTTAGTTCTTTTTACAAGATAAGCATGCCTTCTATATCATTAATGCACTAAGTGAAGCTGTTAGCGATAATGAGATGATAAATCAGCTAAGGAAATATATATAAAATTATGCTATTAAGCATAGAAAAGGCTAAAAAGTTTGCTGCTTGTGAGTTCTACAAAGAGATTTATAGTAGAGAAGTAAAAAAGAGGAAGTGAGTAAAATATTCCTGGGTCATTAAAAAGAAAGACTAGATAATCATAACTTTTCCATGAATTTCTTAAGAGATCTTACAAAATCTAAATAAATTACTTTAAAATTTCATGATCATGAGTATCTTTTGTTTCTCATTTGTTGTAGATAGCTAAGTCAAGAATCATAAGCAAGATTTTTGGTTAACCCACTCCTTATGAGTTAGGGACTGTTGTTGTTCTCAGTGTTGGGGAAGGAAATAGAAACTGACACAGCTAATGAATAACAGGAGTGGGTTGGGAACCAGGAAGATCAGCCCCAAAGCCTGTTCTCTTTCTTCCTGGCATGTCCTAAGAACAAGTGAGGTCTGCACTGCTCCCTGCCTCCTCACCCCATCTCATCTCACCTGCCCGCACCTCTGTCCCCACTCTGCCCCTCTTGCCAAGGTCCCTCTCCTTGCCTCTTTTGCAGCCATCTGCCTCAGTTGGCCCCTTCTTCCTGCCTTTGCCCTCTTCCCTGGTTTCCCTGACAGCACTCTGCTGATCTTCCTGTGAGTGCGGCCATGGTTTCTCAGACTTCTCTTCCTTCTCCACAGCCAGGCCGGATCCCGCTCCGCCATGCCTCCATCCTGAATTCTCCTCCCTTGTATGCATGGCGGCACCTCTCAGTCCGGCTCCAGGGCTGCTGCTTAAATATCTTGCTGAATGAATGAATATGCATAAAGCCAAAACAAAGATTTAAAAATATCTCCCTGGTTCAGTACCACATTTTTTTCTGGGGTAAATTCTTAGTGCTTACTTGTTTTGGCTGTAATATAATGTGGTTACCAAAATCATTTTTAAAGACTTTTACTTTTGAGAGGTGGGTGAACAGAAATGTATATTATATGTCATCAGTTTTTTTTTTCCAGTTCTAAATGGGCACTAGACTTCCACACATTCAAAAAATACTTTGATATGCTATTTTGGCTGGCTTGTTCTTTGAAAAAACGAAATCCTGCATTTTATGCCCATTTTTATAATTTTTGATAGAAACTATGACCCCAAAAATGTATGTGGGGAGGTCATTTTAAACCGAATGATAAGAAAAATCAAGGGTAAGCATATATATTCTATGAAAGAATGAGAAGAGGAAAGATGAAACATAGGTCATCATCGGAGCCCACAAGTGACAGAGCCCTCCACTTGTGGGCACCCTTCAAGCTCTTACTGTTGCTGCTGGTTACCAGCCCCTGCTGGGGAGGAGAAGGCCAACCTGTCACTTCCATCCCCGCCTCTTAAACCAAACCCTAAGGGAGGTGTATAAAACTCAGTAAGGCCTTTTTCCCAAAACCCTGTTGTAGGACCTACACTTCATTTTGTCTCTTCCTTCCTGCATTTTCCCTTTTTCTGTTTTTTCCTGGAACTCATCTGTCCTAAAATTTTACTCCTGCTGGATGTCTTCAAGATTCTCTGGTCTAGCCTTCCTCCATGTTAGAGATAAGGGAGCTGAAGGCCAAAGGATTCCTTGTTCCCATGGTCATAGCTTATTACTG